TGGTGTGTGGTGTGTGGTGTGTGTTGTGTTGTGTTGTGTTGTGTTGTGTTGTGTTGTGTTGTGTTGTGTTGTGTTGTGTGTGTGTTGTGTGTGTGTGCTTGTTGTGTGCGTGTTGTGTGTGTGTGTGGGTGTTGTGTGTGTGGGTGTTGTGTGTGTGTGTGTTGTGCCTGTGTTGTGTTGGCGTGCGTGGGCTGGTTGATTGGGTGTGCGTATGTTGTGTGTGTGTGTATGTCTGTGTCTGTGTGTTGGTTTTGTGTTGGTTGTGTGTGTTGTGTGTGTGTGTTGTGTGTGTGCGTGTGCGTGTGTGTTGTGTGTGCGAGTGTGTTGTGTGTGTGTGTGTTGTGTGTGTGTGTGTTTGTGTGTGTGTGTGTTTGTTTGTTTTGTTTGTGTTTGAAGTACAATTGAAGTATCAGAAGTTGCATGCCGACAGCAGGTGTTGTCAGTGCGACGAGTCAGAACTCTAGTATCATGTGGTGCAGCTGCACCCTGCAGCAGACTGCAGCAAGCCTGAGAGCCAGCATGGGGCCTTGGCTGCCTTGGCTCTTTTGATTCGTGCTGAGGTCTCTGTCGGTGCTGATCCGCAAGAGCCGATGCTACTCAGGGCTCGAGATGTCAAAAGCTGAGTGAATTGACATGCACCGATGTATTGTACCTTCTGCCGTGCAGTAATCGGGAGCACGCCGCAAGTTGCCCAGGTGCTGCTAGAGAGGCTTCGTGTGAGAATCTCCGCATTTGCTCAGGCGGGTCATTCACTGGGGCACGCACGGTTGCAAAGTGTTGTTGGCATGCCGCCAGGATTGCATGGAGAAGGATGATCTTGCGGAAAAGCGTGCCAAAGAACGCAATCAGGCAGCTTGGGATCCCGAGTATAGCTGCAGCTGCATCCCTCGGTTGAACACTTGCGCCGGCTCCTGGCCAACAGAAAAGGAAGCCCCAAAGGACCCTAAGGCTTGAAGGTCCAAGAGGTTGAGTTTTGCTGGACGTTCTCAGCACCGGCGGATATGACAGATCAGAATGATCAGCGTCATGGCCAAGCATTAGATGACGACGGCTTTCGTCGACTCTAAGAAGGTCGAGATCATGGATGGGGTCCAGGGTGGTGGTTTGATGAATGCATGGTGAGGGTTCCGAAGTTCTGTCGTGACGGACTGTGTTGTCCTTGCGAGGTTCCCCCTTTGGGAATGGCAGCCACGAACGCAGATCGTATCGAAGCAGAAGTCTTCGAGGCAGCTGGGCAGTCAATGGATGCCAAAAGGAGGTCTGAGGAGGGTTCCTTGGGTATAAACTGCTATGAACATGAGATCCATGAGAGCCGTGTGCGCCAGGCCATCCGTATGGGAATGGACAAAGAAGACCCGTGCAACTTGTCAAGAAGCGTGTTCCGCCTCGGCAGGAACTACAGCATTTCCGATTCCCACAAGCTGCAGAGACATGGGTACCCACATGTTGAGCCCCGCTTTCGAAAGTAATCTGGCGGTCACCAGGCTTGTTTCCGAGCTGCATCGAAGTCCATTCTCGGAAAAACGCGAGACTACCGCCTTGAGCTCGGTCGATGTTTATCGGCCTCGGCTTTCTGGTGTTCAAATACATACTAATGATCGCAATGCGCCAAGCATCCCCAGTCCAGTCAAGCTTTTAGCCGATTTTGGCAGCTCCAGCGCAGCATCAGCCAGCAAGCAGGTGCCCTCAGGTGCCGCAGCGCCGAGGATCAGGAAGCCGAAAGGATCGGGTCGCTACCCAGCACACCGATGCGATATGTCCAAGCACGGTTGGTCCTTGAGAAACGTGAAGGAGGCTTAAACCGATGTGGTTACGTCTGCAGATACCCGTTCGAAAGCGCCCGTTCTGAACTGTTGTTCTTTGGATGTTGGCAGAGAGGCAGATTCAGATTGCAAGAACTGATCACATCTAAGCATGTTTTGGCTACAGTTGCAAGGCATCGAAGAAGCACAGAACATCATCAAGGTTCTGCGGCAGGCGAAATACTGTGATAATTAATCTTTCTCGATGTCGATGCACTTCAAGCACATCGCCTCAGAAATTGCGGTGTCACAGTGGCATGCCGGAGAGAGCCTGTGCATGCCCTCTGTGATTGCAGCACGGATTTGGCATGGGGGACACTTGAGTGGAGGCTGGTCTCAATTCACAACTCAATTGACGAGTCTGCAGCAGACCAATGCTTGATCTCCCGCCTATCCGCATGACAGAAAGACGGGGAGCGCAAGCGCCTGCATAACCGCAACAAGCGCTTGCAGGAGCGCGCAGGGGGGCCAGCCATTTGCTGCCTTGTTGTGTTTTGTGGTCAGACAGGCAGACACACTTGGGGCGATCGGGGAAAGGTTGTTGCTTCCAAATCATGATTTCCACATGCAAGACCCGGATGCCGCCAGGAGGATGCCAACAAGGCGCAATGTGGGGACGCCTGAAGCCTGCCGGAAGCGGAAGGAACACTATGTACTATAATTAAAAATAATTATAATATTAATTTACCATAGTTACCGAGTTCAGTGCACCCACGCTGCACGTGCATGTACATGTTTGCTGCAAAAGGTTGGTGTTTGGCAGAGGATGTGTTTTGAGACAGCGTCCAGGTTAGCTTTCACTGTCCACTGTTTCCAGTTGTCCAGAGTTGTCCTGTTTATTGTGGTATATTGTCGTAGACTGGAGCCGCTGCAGATTTCAGCTGCGGATATGTTCAGACTGTCTGTGTCCAGGATGTCTCACACTTTTTGCTTTGTGCTGGTCCGCTGTGTAGGTCGACTGACACTGCGTTCGACGGGCACGTGGGAGTGAGCTCGAGAGTGTGCAGATGCATGTGGCTGGCAAGGCAATCAAAGCAAGACGGTGTTTGTGTGCTGCGGTTGATATTTCACACGACCGCGGTGGGCACCGCATTGGTTGTTCTGAGCCCTGCAGCAGTCACTAGAATTCGGAGTGCAGACATTCGCTATCGCTTGTACACTATTGCAGCAAGCTGCGGTATGTAGGAAGACCACTGGACACATGAGGAATCAAACGAGGCATGTCAACGTCTCTCAGTGGTTCGGGCATTGTCGCAGAGATTCGTGTTCCTTCTTCGTTTTCTGGTCAGGCACGTCAATGCAAAGGCTTGTTGCAGTCGTAGCCAGCAATGGGCAGTGAAGGCTCGCTGGTGAAGGCTATTTTGCAGCAATCCAGGGCTAGTACGTGTATATATGTATATATATACACACACATAGTATGTTCCACCTTAAACCTTCGTTGACCCTCATTGAGCTCGAGCCACTTCCTGGTGCCACTGGAAGCCTTGCGTTTGATGTTATTACAGCTTGTAACAGTGCCAAGGAATCAAATCTTGTCCTATACAGTGTTGAATTTTGCCGACACACAGTATATACCGACAGCTTGAGTAGTCGAGAGTTTGAACATGACTGGATGGCAAAGCCATGCAGTCGGGGTATGTCGAAGTCGAAAATACAAGTGTCGGCCTCGTGCATCGAGCGATCGGCACGTGCGCTTCAGAAGATGAGTGGTTTATGTAGTAGTAAGTGTTTGCAACTGTTTGCATGCGGTTTGCGCGTTCTCCCGGATGCATTGCTGGCTGAATTCCTCGGCCGGGATCATGCGCAATATCAGATTATGTCCGGCTAATAACCACGAGGGTACATTGACAGTCTCTGCATGTCTTTGCTATTGCTTCTGATGGACTGCCATATCCTGCCGTCCGCCGCCGATAGCGCTCAAACGCAGCAAGCTAGGTGAGGCTTTTGGGCGCCACGGCCAGCATGTGACCCAGCGCCGTCACAGCTCCTTTGGAATTGCACCAGCCCGGCATACACAGGAATGGGTCGTACGCTCAAGTGACGGAGACACAAAAGAAAGCCCACAAAGCACCCATTTTTTCCACGACAGCAACAACAGGGGGAGCCTCCGATTGCCGCTTGTGCCGACCTGGCATCATTTCACTCATGCTCAGATCATCGTAGATCCTGGGCGGCTCAACAGTTGAAAAATTGTTTGGCGAGATAGCCACATGCCCTTCAGGTAGACGCTTTTGGTTGGCCGTTTGCGGTGGCTCACGTTCCGCTGATTTCATCCTGCTTGCCGCAAGACGACCTGCCTGTAGTGCAGTCGAGGCAGTAGTTCAACCAATGTAGAGCTTGCATGCGATCCCATGCCAGGAGTCACATGGAGAATCTGTCAGTTGGAGTG